TTGCACCCATGATACTGACAGTAATAGCAATGACTGTCAAGTCTATAATCTGTACTTCTACTTTATAAGAAAGTGCAGTTCTACAGAATACATTGGAAGGTGGCAATATTTTCATATTCCAATGCAATGTTTGAACACTGACTGCATATTTAGTCAATTAAGACCAACCAGCCCACACTGACAGGATAATTTTGTGGGTCTGTAAGACTCTCTAACATACCTTTCTTTTGTTCAGGACATTGGACCACATGTTAACACACGGATTTGTCCAATAACTATACACACAACAAAATGTGAGTGCAGACCCTATATTCTGACTCTTGAAATACAAGGGCGTCAGACAATGTCTCCTATGAATCAGCACATCTTCACTGCATTGTAAGATGCTATGTATGCTGCTGACACCAGCTGAGGACCTGACCTGTATGTGTCTTATTTTCCAGCTGTACGTTCCTAACTGTTCAGGTGAAATTGCTTCATCTTGCTTCTCTTCAGATTATGATGGTCCTAATATTTTTTTGAATATCCTACCTAAAAATATACTTAACTTGAAATAATTCCACTGGAATTTTAGTACACATTTAAGTGCTGTGTGAGTTGATGTTGGTTGGCAAGATCCAGCTCAATCACAATGTTAATATTACAGCACTATAGTACCTGTTTGATTGCAGCAGTCAAAAAAAAAAAAAAAGGAAATCAATACGGAAATAAACTTGGGTTTTCATTAAGAATGATTTTATTTTAGCCTACAGGAACTATGCCTAGAAAAAGTACCCTGCCTCAAGCAATAAATATGACAGACCTTCATAGCTGTCCAAATAGTGGGTAGAAGATTTGAAGTCTTTTAGCAAAATTCCTGTTACATAGAAATAAAGAATATCTTTGAGACTATGAGGTGGTTAACAACTTATTTTGTGTGTGAACTCCTCCAGTTAGTGCACGACATTTCTACTCACCTGCATGATTTCAGTAACAGCCTTGCAGGCTTCCTCCTTGTTTGAAGCCACAATTACTCCTTTGCCAGCTGCCAGGCCACTGGCTTTTACAACTAAAGCAGGGAAGTTTGCACTTCAAAGATAGAGAAGAGAGATTCAACAGTCAACACTCTGTATTGCAGATATATTTTGCAGGCATTTTTGAACATTTCAATAGTTGAAAGATCAAAATACTTACCAGTTTTCACAGCAACTGTTTTACCTTTATTGAAAAACACACAAGTAAAAACCAGGCTTCTCTTGTTATGCTATGCCTGTAAAGGATTTCTGCTTCCTGTTTGTTCCCCACCACTGAATTTTGTTACTGTTCTGAAAGGCTGCTTTCCTTGTAATAATTTACTGTTGTATCATTTTTGGGTCACCTGGATTCTATTCTGATGAGTAGATCATCATTTGCTGAGTAAGTTTCCAATACAGAATTTATATTCGTGGAGAAAAGGTACAAAGAAGGCAGAACATATGACTATCAGACTGCATGCTGGGTTTCCACAGTAAGCAATTTGAAAAAAAATACACAGTTGTCCCATATTCTCCTTGAAAACTAAACACTGGACTTTATTTTCATTTAAGAGCAGTAAATAAGAACCGTTTAATTATCAGACTTAATGCAGTGTGATAGTGTCATGTTACACCTTTACAGGTGTTCTATCAAAGCCAAAAGTATAGATAAATTAGTAATCATCTGACTGTTTGTTTTGGATACCTAGCAAGCTGCATATTGCTGTAAAAAAAAAATATTTCTAAAATGACAAGAATTTTACCTGTTAATAAAGTTACATGCTGCTTTAGCATCAGTAAAAGATTTCCATCTCGCAGTTGGGATTTCATGACGATCCAAGAAGGCTTTGGTAAAGCTCTTACTGGACTCCAGCTGAGCTGCCTCTGCTGTTGGACCAAAACACCTTACTCCAGCTGCTGTCAAGTCATCAACAATTCCTAAAAATGGCAACACAAAAAAATGTTATAAATCAACAGATGATTTATAGGAGTCATGTAGTCCAAGTCTACAGATGCATTGATTTGTTGGAACAAGTATGTCAGGAATGATAAGCCATTTATATCTATCCAGTGCCTACTTTACCAGATGGGCCGTAGACGCATTTTTCACTATAATCAGGAGCCAGTAACCCTGCAGAGAAGATCTGCTGCATTTGGTAAAAGACAACAATCCCCTCTTGCTTCATTATAGCTTTTAGCTAAAACGTCAACGTTAGTCTTTTGTGAAGATGACACTTGTTGATCACATAAAAAGTTAGAACAGAAAAATCATCAACGTGTTTATAAATGTGTTTGGGTTTTTTTACCAAGTCAGAAATTGTTATTATTATTTCAAAAAATGAAAACTCCACAGGAAAATCAAAACTTTAGTTAAGGTTCCTATATGGAAACACTTTGATACCTCTTTCACTAATCCCAAGCACTTAAAAAAAGAAACGGAACATTTAAGGATATCTTAACTGTTATAATGCTCACACAATACCCTTCAGAAATTCATTTTCATTACAGCGCAACTCTGAATTTCAGGGAAACTGCCACGGAGGATCTGTTTCAATTCCTATTGAAGACACTCAGGTACTGTTGAGTAGTGTGCAGAAGACAGGGACTAAAATTTACTTTTCTTCCTAAATTATGCAAGCTATGATTTTTTGCTTGTTTTCTCTTACCAGCAGCAAGAGGAACCTCTGGACCAACCACAACCAGCCTGATCTCCTGATCTCTGCAGAACTGGGCGAGTGCAGCATGATTGCTGACTGAAACAGCTGTTGAAGATACAAAAGGGTGGTAAGACTGCATTCACTACTATTGCATAGCACTTATTTATCACATAATGTTGAAGCAGCATTTTCACCAGTCTCTCATTCTTGAATGGCAGGTCACTGTGAATCTGGAAGAGTGAGGCATACACTGATATACAGACTTACACAAGAGGCTTGGATGAAAATAATCCACAAAACCCTCAAGTGAAGGCTGTAGTTTGACATGCATTGTCATCCTTGCTCTTGGAGGTGAGAAAAAAAGGTTTGGGTTCCCCATTTGCCAGCAGAAGCAGCATTGCACAAACAAACAAAAAAAAAAAAAGAAAAAAAAAGAAATTTTCAGCCAGTATCCTCCCTGAGTAGGGTCACCATGAAATTTTACACATGTTCATGCCAACATGGTGTAGGGGACAGGAACAAGTGGCTGGTGGTGGGATTGGATTGCAACTGTTTTCTTTTCTTTCTTTCTTTCTTTCTTTCTGTAGTGCCAGCTAAAAATTGCCACGCTGAACTGCAGCCCCACTGAAAAAAAGGAGAATCTGAACACTTTTTCTTACATTAGGCTGAACTTAATAAGGGCAGGTGCTGTAGTTATGGATAAAGATATTTCGTCTTAGGATTGTAGGACCGTTATCTTTCCACAAACAAACATTTAATATGACGATACTTGGAATGCCAAAAACTGTGTAAACGAAAGAAAGAGCTTCCATGAAAGACAATAATGTCAAGTCTCACGATAAAAATTTACGCAAAGGCAATGCAATTCCACCACTTTTATCAAGAATAAATAAAGCCAAGGTCTACCGAGGACAGGAACACGAACCCAGAGACAGCCAAAAAAGTGGTGAGTGTGGCCCAGGGTGGATTGGCTGCCCCTGCGGGGAGGAGAGTAACACATCAGGGCACGAAGCTGGCAAAGGGAGCACGGTACAGCACAGCACAGACCCTCCTTGCAGCTGCACTACTTTGTGTTAAGTTTTGTCTGTCATCTCCTGTTAGTGACCATACTGTCCAGCCCGCCAGGAGCTGGTGGGCTCTTCCAGATAGTTTCTGGGGAAGTGAAGAGAGAGAAAGGAGAGGCAGTGACACAGCAGCTTCTGCTGGACAAACAGACACGATGTTGTGTCGGTGCCCACTGTGCTCCTGACATCCTGTATGGATAAATTGCCTTCTTCCACAAGCTATTTCTGCCTAAAAGATGCCATAAAAGCAACTATTTGAAGCCTACATTTTGATTATATAGGCTTACCCTATTTGGGTGGAGTGGGGGAAAAAAAACAGGCTGAACACTAATAAAAATTAGCTCCTTGACACCTATTTAACAGTTCAATTATTTTGTTCCCCCAGCATTTCTAAGTAAGAAGCAAAGGCCTCTGACTTCCACGTGCAATTTATGCCAATTTACTTCTGGCTCACAAGAGAGCAAAAACAAAAGCATAACACACTTGGCTTTAAAGTACTCATTAACGTAAAGGTCAATATTGTCTTTCAGTCCCATGGGGCTGTTGTGAAAGCAGCTGGAGAACAGCAGATCCCAACCGAAGAGAGTGGGAGCTCTGGTGGGCCAATGAAGAGGGATGATCCCTGTTCCCCGTGAGACTAATCCATGCGAAGGGGAGCAGGGAAACGAAAGAGCCTGTAAGGTGACTGTGCTTTTCATCCCATATTGTCATGGCGCAGGTCTGATCTACTAGTAATACTAGCAGTGAATATGGCACAAGATTTACATGATGTGGAAATGCCCTAGTTACAAATGGAAAGGAATAAATCACACCGTTAATACGCTATTTTAACTCTTCCCCCAAAACATAATTTTCCTCAGGATGTAGACTGAAAGGGGACATTTTTGTAGCTGCATTTCATTTCTCAAAATGACAGCTAAACATTCCTTTTGAATGAGACAGAAGGACCTTGGACCAAGGTTTTCAAAGCTAGAGCTCAAAGTTAAGAGCATATGTTACACTCAGAGCTAAAATGTGTAGGAAGGAGGTGTCAGGACGCTAAAGTCCATTCACAGACATGCATATGTCTATCTCTGGATTCAGCAAGCCATTCTGTATGCTTCTGGCACCAAAATTGCCCTGCTAATTAAATATAAATTGAATATAAAACTATATTTAGCCACTCAACCTAAATCTGTCTTTATTGTCAGAAACATTACTGACTCAAATTAACCATGAAAACTTTTTTTTTACTTAGATACAAGCAAGGCTTGAAGGACTTAAGGTTATTTATAATTTTAAGCTCACCTTCATAATTTTCAGAAATCATCTGAGAACCAGAGTTGCAATGCTAATTAAAGGCACTCTCGTGAACCATGAAAGAAGGATGAACTTTCAGAGCCAAATCTTAATTATAGCAAAAAAACCAGAAACAATGGTAGCAGTTTCAGAGACATTGCTGCCCAGGCTCACACAATATAATAGGGCTCACATGCTTCTGTAAAGCTGTTTTCCATTTTCTCCCTTGAGTTAAAACCTAGACCCCAGTGGTAGGACTCAAATGTCTGAGCAGGTAAGACAAATTGTCTACTTAAAAAACAAAGAAGTCAAACCCTTCACATATTCTAGATTCTTCCCATCTCCCAGTTGGCTGAGGATTTCTCTCCCAAAGTACATGTGAGGCCATAGCCTACAAAAAAAGATTTGAGTACACCTGGTAGCTTTCATGGACCTGGCTCAAGCGTTATTATGCACATGCTCAAGTATTTTCCACTGTTGAGGGTGCCGTATTTTCTATGGAATAACAAGGTGAGAGAAAAGTGCAGCAGTTTTTAAAAGACACCACTTGCAAAAAAACCACTGAAATTAACATTGTGCAGGTCATCCAAACTGGCATTGACTCCATTTAGCACAAGGGTAAAGATTTTTGTTTGACTTTCTGTGGTGAGAAGGAAACATATGACTTCCCTTGTCAGGCTCTTTCTTAGGCCCTCTCCTCAGAGACCAAACAGAACAAAAACTACTTATGATACTGTGACTCGTCAAAGCAATTAAGGACAAAGTTATTTAAACAGCCTGTAATTAAGCATTCCAATGGAATTAAATACGGTAATTACCTGTTGTACAAGAATCTGACAGGATTCATGCTTCCACATGAGAGGGTAACAAAGAAAGACTTTACTCACATACAAATATGAATTCAGAAAATTGATGCGCATAATTCATGTTCACATGCACCATATGTTAATTTTAATTCTGTATGTTATCACGTGTTTTGAAGTGGAAACTTAAGTCAGTTGTTTAAAGTACCTAATTCAAGATCTGTTATATAAAGGACACAAGACAGGAATCTCTGAGTAATTACTCCTGATTTTGTACTGATTCACTGTGTGCCTCCCCAGGCAAGCACCTTAGACCAGTATTTTTCTTAAAGCACAGCACGTAATTTTGGATGTCCAATTTGAAATACCTTAAGCGCGATTTCTGAAAACTAATAACTATGAATAGTTTCAATTACAGCCAGTTGGAGCTCAACATATTAAGACAGAAGTTCAAAACAGGCAGTCAGTACTAAGAGAGAACCGTTTGAAAAAAACCCCTTAACTTCTTACGATCACCGAGACAAAGAAATTAATATTTTTCTAAGGTTGAACAGTTCAGGTGAGAAACTATTCTCATCAAAGCTTGTAAGGATCACAGAGTTCAATGCACTTCTGAGAATACAGCAGTAAATTTAATACTCAAAGCTCTGCCACTCTCCTAGAGGTGCTGGCATTTGCTGCAGGCACTTTTCAGCTGCTCACCAACCAGCTGCTGAACTGCACCACATATTAAGAGAAACCATCACCCTTTCCCTGCTAGGCTGCTGGGAGGCAGACACCATGGCAGCTATCCCGAGCTGTATTCCCGGAGGAACGCGCATCAGACAGGTGGAGTTCTGGCTGCATCCTCCACTCCCAAACCTAAAGAATTAGCTATTGCAACTGAGATCATCTAAAATGAGTGGTAGTTGCACAAGGCTTTGCTCAGCCATTTTTTCTTCTTACCTGCATCTATATCATCTATTTCACATGTCTATTTCACCTTAAAAATAGTCATAGTAGTCATAATGCTTTCACAGTAACAGATGGATGAACGGAACAACGTACCTGTTGAGTTATCAAATTTAAAAATGGTATTTTTTCTTTTTACCTGAATTGGAAATTTTTCCATTGTCAGCTGTTCCTGCATTCCCTGGAGCAACAAACACGTGTTTTACATGTGGGGACTGGGCCAACTTCCAGGCCAGCGCATGCTCTCTCCCTCCACTGCCAATCACGAGCACTCGATCGGCCATTAGTCTGCATAAAACCAGAACACAAGCGAAACAGCCAGAATTAGGCACGTGAGGTTAGGAAAGCAAGAGCTCCACAGACCATGGTTTTGAAGTGCTGGGTGCAACACGACTCCTAACAGAGGTGAATGATGTTACTTTGTTTCAGGCAATGATCTTTCAATAAGGATTTTGCTGGTTTTAAAAAGAAAAAAATAAAAAAGAGAGAGAGAGATGGAGACGAAAATGGATAACTGACTTAATCAGATGTGATATAAACTAAATGTCAAAGACTGAAACCGCTCCAGAACACAGAAGTAACCCGCAGGGCAATCCATCCTGGTTTTCCTTTAGTCAGATTGGCAACTGCTCCAAGTTATACATAAGTCTGTGAAATAAAAAAAAACCCTTTCGAGTGATGGGGCTGTGATTTGTAACCTATAGAAATTTCTGAAGAATCCAAGCGTGCAAAGGCCAAAGCCCTTCTGATGAACACGTTGCACTAGCACAGTATTACAGTGTTAGGGAGCTGAATGGGACCACTTCAGACTTTTTAGAGGTAGTATCTGAAAGAGCTCTAAATACTTCAGGAAAAGGAAAGGGTAAGAGCAATGGCACAGGGAAATCAGCTTCCAGCTTTAGCTTTCCTTAGGACAGAACAACCACAAGGCAAACAACAGGGAAGACCATGGCCACTAACAAAGGAGTTCACTCTGGTCATCCACTCCTCTCTCCCATTCCACCGAGTTTTAGGAAAACACATTAACACTCTCTTGGCCTGAGGGAACCGGGTGTATGAATGAAGGCTGCAATTTCATTACATTTTTAAAATGTCCAAAACCTTTTCATCAGATTGAAAATAAAATGGTCACAAAAATGAACTCTCTCAGTTTCACCCTCCCTATGGCATTGTGTGCGTGTGTACACGTAACTTAGACATACCAGATTGATGTCAATATTATAATTTTTTCTTTCAGTAGCTTTGAGAGTTAGCCTTTGCTTTTCAAAACATGTTTACTTCTACATCTATTCTCTACATATTTACTGATGCACGTCACCTCAGAATCACCATCCCAACAATGATACCACACAACTAGCAAGAGAATAGGAGAGTTCGCTTACACTGAAAAAAACTCACTGGAATTCAGAAAATGGTAAATAATTAAATTAAATAAGCACGTATTTCTTTATTTGGAGTTTCTTGAAAAGCAAAGGCAAGCCTCCTAAGCTATTAAAAGAATAAGCTGTTAGAGTTGCATTAGTCCAACTATATATAAATTACATACACAAATGATGCCACTATACTAGTTAAAGTGAGAGTTTTATTCACAGGAGTCAAACAGGCCCTGAAGAATCCATTCAGTGAAGCAGAAAGCGAGCAGCTACAAACTGGGAGTTGGTCCTAAGCCCAAGCACAGCATGCACTACTTGCAGAAAATAACTTAAAAATTTTAAATCCTAACATATGCAAATTAATGATCTAAACCTATGCAAAATTACTTAAAGCATTTTAAGTGATGAGAATAAACAGAACGATTTTTGCGTGGAAAATGGCACGATGTGTTTAAAGGACTGTGCGTGGCCAGCGAAGAGGCCTGATGTGTCCTTCTGCTGTTTGAATCACCTCCCACTGATCGGGGGGAGGAACGCAGCCCAGATAAGAGTTTTAGTCAAAAGGAACAACCAGTCTCCCTGCTGTAATCCCAGCACACGTAACACATAACCCTTGGTCGCTCCCTATGCCTCTTCCATTAAGTGGCTGGTCATTGACCTATGCTTGCCGATGTGTACCGTGCCTGCCAAGGTGAGCTCAGAGAAAAAAAACCCAACACACGTTGCAGCTTGAATACACACAGGTGACAGTTCCGTTTCCAAGAGCAGCAGAAAGTCAGAACTCCTCTGTGGTATCCACCTTAGCGGGAGGACAAGAGAGGATGGCTAGTGCAAAGCGCATCTTAAAGAAAAGAGAAAAACCCAACAGATTTCTAAGGGAAAAGCAAAAAGACATGACAGAAAACAGATTTTTAGCCAACTGATAGGGCAGGGGCATGTGCCTCTCTCCCACATCAGCTGCTAGAGCTTGACTTGAATAAACTGCTCTGATAGCTCCCACCCTGGAGAAACCTGTCCTTCCTGAGGACCTGGACTATGTGGGAAATAGCTTCTGCTCTGAGGGCACTATGGTGAGCCTGACTTTTAAATACAAGTCCTCTGCAATAAACTTTAGCCAGGAAGAGCCCACACGTGTTTGAGAAGGTATTCCTATGCCACTTGCTAGCGTGTTTTAATCCATTAATGAAGAAATGGTTTGTTCATGGAGTGATACTTTTAGGCGAAACATCCCATCAGAATAAAACAAATATGAACAGAAGGATAAAATACAGAAAATTAACACTGAGTTATTCACTGTGGACTAAACACACCAGAGTTAAAATTGAATTGTAGTTTCAGGTGGGGGGCGACCAAAAGCTTTCTAATCACCAGTGTTTGACAAAATATACATGTTGCAAAGTTGCAGAGATATTTTAATTACAAAATTCCAGCATTACTTACAATTAAAAAAATATATATATACGTTGGAGTAAAAATTATCAGTTATGGTATATATATTTGGGCTGTCAAGTTACACTAAACCTCTTTTATCAAACCCAGCAAAAAGAAGATAAAAGGGGCTGGCTATAACAAAACAATGAATTAGATACAGACAGTTACCTAGGACAAAAGAATGCAATATAAAAGAATAAACAGGCAGCTATCTCCTGCATCAAAGTTAAACCAAACAAGCATGTTTCCAGTGCTCTCCACAGACAGTCATCATTAAATAATAATTTTTAAGGCAAATTTTATCAATAGTAAGTTGAACTACATATTACAGCCCTTTCTTACAAGTACCTCATAACTGAGTGCACAGCTTCAAACTCGAACAGAGAACATACTTACTCTATTCTATGTGCTGTCAATCTGAGTAAAGTAGTAGTCAAGAGTTCAGACGCGCAAAGAGAAAGGAGATAAGCAGCCTGTGGTTAAAATGTAGTACCCCTGTCCCAATATTACCGCCCCATTGACGACACTGTGCAGCTGGCCAATGAATGGGAAAGTCCAGCCATTCCAGCTGGGAAGAGGGGACAGAAACTTGCATACAAATGGTCTAACAGTGAGGAACAAAAACTGTGCTGAGCAGAAGCAGCACATCCTGTCGTTTCTAAACATGCAAATTAAATTCTGTCCCATCTCAGGTATTTTTTTGCAGTTAAAAATGGGAGGACGGGCTTGAAGATCCAGTGACACTGTTGCCAGCTGAAGTAATTCATCATGCTGGCAACTCAAATAATCACTTCCATTTTTCCCTAAAAGTAACATATTCCAATACTACTGTCAGCTGAAAAGAATTAATAATATACAGTGTGAAGTTTTACAAGCTATATATCATATGTTCAAACAAAATTTAATCGTTTTATAACAAAATGTGAGTAAAAAATAAGTTTCGGCCTTTCAGCCATTTCTTTTGAAACTCAGTGTTATTTGTGCATCCCACAAGTGGTATCCTAGCAACTTTTTTTTTTAGGGATATAGCTTGAGAAGAATCTCTGGTGGCAATCCCAGTTTAGGAGGCTGAAATCTAGCAGTTGCAGCCTTTCTTTCTCACACTAATACAGAAAGATGCTGTGTAGGCCCTCTGCTGCCCAGCAGTAACTTACATTAAAAATGAAAATTCCAAGAGATGACATTTCTTTTTATTTGTCAGTAATCCAGGAGTCAAAAATTTGTTCTCAAGAGGCCAAAAGCCATTCACAAGCTAGATATTTCTTCTGTGAGGATTATCACACACTCAAGTTTTTTTGGAAGCAATATGTAAAATCCTTAAACTCCAAAAAGATTTCAAAACACGGCACGTAATTACCTTAAGCAACCATTGTCTGCTATCGTAAACAAGGAAGATATGTTTGTTTAAAAGATGTTTTAAAATTAAGACAGGTGCCATTTCAGGCAAGGGTCTATTACTAGGTCCTTACAGGAAATAAGAACAAGAAAACAGAAACAAGCTAATCACTCCATGTATCCAAGAGGAGAAGACACGAGGACAGAGTGAAGACAAGTCGATTTCCAGAGCCCATCCCTGAGGTTCCCAGTAGTAAGTCAGCAGGGACGAGCATCAGCCTAGAGACCTTTATCCTCCACAAAAGGTAGGGCTCACCAAGAAGCTGGGCACCTCTTCCACAAGGTCAGGGCCTGCGGAGCAGAGAAAATAAAGTGAGGAAGGCAAACCCAACATTTTCTGATAGCTTTCTCCATCCTGACTCCTCCACAAGACATGGTGAGATTTCAAATACAGGTAGAAGTGAGATGAGGTTGCTAACTCAGTTGCTACCCCTTCCCTATTAACGCAGAAGGGAGAGGAGCCCCTGACTCTCCCTCGAACTGGTCCTGGGCATAGACTTGGGGGTTAAAACTGAGCCCCTTGGTTGCCTTTATGAAGGTAACTCTATAAGAAAATGTAAACTCCTGAAGCAATTTCTTCCCAAGTTTCAGTTTCATACCATATGTGTGTGGTGCAAGTTACCTACATATTTTGTCTCAACTAGGTAGAGTCTCCTAATAAGCCATTGCCTTATTACCTCAGCCCTAACTAAAGCAGTAAAAAGGTGCAATTAAAATAAGATCTGTGCAATATAGCACAAAAAGTAAAGGGTATGACTGGTGGCAGCTCACTGCTTCAGATAGTATCTTTTTTTTTTTTAAATTAAGCTCCAATGCTGTTGGGTTTCTCTGTGCTCTTTGATTGAGAGACCTGGCTGGAGTGTGTTTTGTTTTGGTGAGTCAAATACACCAAATCCTGAAAACCTGTGTGAAAAAGGTGCCACAAAACAACGTAGTTTAAAAATATACTTTTTAGTGTCTTAGTTTCAACAAAATCTGAGCTGAGGGTGAAGAGACAATGGCAACTCACAGGTATATTTAAACTGTTGTACTGTGCAGCATCCAAAGTGCTTCAGCCCTTCACTAAAGGGTATTTGCTGCTTAAGCAGGTTTATACTCTACTGTGAAAATTTACACAAGCATTAATGCTGGACCCATTCATATACCTTGTTGTTATTGAAAGGGGATGTCGTGAACCCAGACACAGTTTCCCTTTCCTTGTACTGGCTCTGGTGCTGACTTGAGCACAGTCAATTCACTGAGATTTCATAAAACTAATCTGAGCAAAAAGAAAAACAGCAATCGAAACCAGATTTCTGTAAGCTGAACTGGTTTTAAAATGCGATCAGCCAAGGTCTAGAGACACTAACAGTGAATGAACGGGACAAGAAAGCTGAGCAGAACTCAAAGACAAGACCTGCCCTTCAGGCAGCAACAATCTACTCTATCACTGTACATCTAACATCTAACCTTAGCTGCAGTCCATTTAAAAGCTGCAATACCTTAGCTTCCTAACACTGGGATTCAGGAAACCTGATGTAGGCATTCAAAGATATGGTCCTTGCCAGGAGCGTCTTAACTCCTACCTTTTCTAGAGCTTAGGCTACAAAATGGCCTAGCAGTGATAGTCACTTGCCCCAAACACAAGGAACCTAAGCCCAGTGTCACTGAGAAGGTTAAAACCCACATCCCCCAGTCTCTGGAGAAGAGGTCTTATCACTTGGCTTTGGACTAAAGGAGAAGGTTTGTTCTTTCTCTTGAAGCTAGGCAGGAGAAGGAAATGAAGACTCACAGGACACAGCAAGAACACAAAACTGGGAAGGCTGCCATCCCACCCAGTGTAGTATTAGTTTCTAGCCCTAGCAGTCAGGACCATTTATGTTTTGATGTTTTGGGTTTTTTTCCATAGAGCTGCAATGGGATAAAATATTGAAAGAACCATGTGGAGAAGAAGCCAAAACCTAGGACTTCCTCCTCCCAACTACAACAGCTAGGCTGCTGCTCTACTCCCTCCCAGGAACCTGCCATCCTTTACTCGGCTTCTTAACTCTCCAGCAGCCAGATCGTACGGTCCCAAACACCCTCAGGCTGAACCCTGCTCTTCTGCTTTCTGAATTAATCAGCTCTAATCAGCAGGCCAAGTCATTTCTTAAAGAGTCCGCTGCACGTTAGGAGTGCACACAAATCTGGCTGCACACGAGGTGAACTCTGAGCTGGCTTTCTCGGTGAACCTTTGCCAACTGCTGGACCCTGATCAAGCTTGGAGACCAACTGGAGGCTGAAACGCACAAGCGGCAGGTTCACCGACTGGTGTTTCACAATTGGCTCGCGCTGCCCTTTGCCGGTGCAGCTTCCCATTGGTCCCACCAACTTCTCCACCTCCAGTCTCTCCTTCCCTCTCCCACCCCTGTGTGCCAAGGCTGTGAAGTCACTAGGGTCAGGCAGCCAATAATGCTGGAAAACTAACACTATAACAGTAGCCAACCCAGTAAGGTAAACACATATATATATATATGTGCGCATATATAAAGGAAGTACTTTTCTGACAGTTTAGTGAGCTAGACTAACTCACTGAGGGATGAAGCGATCACCACAGCCAGTAGAAGGGAAGCAGAAGGCAGCCAGACAGAGTGACAGCAGCTCGGTTTTTGCTGCAGCAGGCTGCTCATCAGCCTGGCTGTCCCAGGCACGGCACCCTCAGATCATCTTGATCACTGGAGAGACCATAACGCAATCGGTGGCAAACACTGCTTCTCAATTTACCATCTCACCCAACTGCTCGTTCCCACCTCTTGCCCCAGCCTGTTTATGGTCACAGGGTGAGTCAGACCAAAGAAGCAAATGAGGGCTGGGGAAGGGAAGAGGTCCATGTCTCTCCACACTTTTTTTCCTACATGGATCAGTTTCCAGAGGGAATTCCCTGTGCCAATAGTGCAGGCAGCTCCGCTGATGCAACGCAAGGTGCAGAAATAAACAGCCACAGCACCTAAACTGGCAAAATGGCCAAAATACAATGATGGAACTGCAAGTTTAGGCTGGGGCACCATTAGGCTCGTCCTGAAGGAAAACAGAATGGCCTTAAGAGAACTTTGAATTTACTCAGCTTTCAATACCATAAAGAGCTGCCTAAGGAGTTCAGAGGCCTCCAGAATCAGGTGGCAATTACGGCTTCTAGTTATAGCTTTGGGTTTAAACAAACTTCTCTTGCTCATGTGTTTTATTTAGAAGTAATCCCTAGCTCTCACCTGGCCATATAGTGTGACATACCAGACCTCTTTATAAAACAAAAAAAACCCCAAGAAACGTCTTTATTATCTGTGTTTCACCAGAGCATCAGGCTGAAGGCCTGAATCTAAGTGGTGAATAAAATACAATGCCTTTCATGGCCTGACCTGAGGATCTGCACGGCAGGCGTCTTGCCTTCCAGTGTGATCCTCCGAATGGCTGGATTGTGCCTTTCCGAGGAAAAACCTTACTGCAAGTTTCGCTACTGAAAACAAATGAACCTTAGAAGTTTTGTCACCCTCCCTGAAGTACTAAATTTTGACATGTCAAAACTCTATGTGGGGAGCTGGATGTGGTCAGCATCTTTCACCACCAAAGCCTCTGTAGAAGCTGGTGGGTGAGAACCAACCAGGGGGAGGGGGGCAGAAATGCGCTTTCTATGTCACTATTTCAGTTACGCATGCAATACAGTGAAGTAAGTATTAATGCTGCTCATTAATTTCAAGTATCTACAGGATAGACTGAAAGAAAAACAAACCACACAAAAAAGAGGGACAACGTTAAAGTTGGTAAGCCCCCAACTTCGCAAACATCAGGGAAAAAAAATCAAAGTGAGTCAAAGTCCAAAACAAGAGAGGTTAGAAGTTTAATATTTACTTTAAAGCAAATATTTCACCACTTTTTCAAAGCCAAACAGAGCAGAGGAGGAAAAAAAAAAAAAAAGACCAACGTAGAAATAAAAGCCACGTGCGTTTTAAAATACCTCACAGTGCAGTGCATTTAAAAACGCTACACATGAAGCTCCCCAAAAGTAAATCTGGGCAGGAGGCACGCAGTTAACGTAGATAGATAGCTGAAGAAGGCGGCCGTGAGCAACCCCATTTCCTCACGCCCCTCCATCGCCATGGGCGCGGGTCCGGAGCAGGACCCGGGATAAACCGAAGCCGGCCGGGTTTTCAGGCCAGGCCTGCTCCCCGCGGCGGCCTAGGTGCAGCACGGACCGGCAAGAAGATACCGGGCCGGG